AGGTCAAAGTGATTGATTAAATCTGATAGCCCTTCATCCTAGAAAGGTGCTGCTCAAATATCATGTTATAAGGTAATTAAGAACAAAACAATTTTGCTATGACATATCACAGGGGTGCAGATAGCGAAAGTGAGCGTAACCTCTCGATGATGTTATTATCCAAATAATAAGATGTGAAAACACATGTAAAGGGAAATAACCGTTACTACAGAGTAAATGTGACACCACTGTTATGGCCTAAGTGAGCATAAAACGTCCGTTTTCATTGGGATTAATTTAGCCAAAGAAGATTTTTCAAGACGATTACGTATGGGAAATGTTAACGTTATTTAGATAGATTGGAGTATGATTGGTTTGTAATAATAATCCAATTGAGAAGTCTATGATAATCCAATTCAGGTATCTGGTGGTGTGTATAAAATGTCAATAAGGATCCCCTACCGGTGCCAAAAACTGTAACTACGCATAGGAAACTGTTGTTTCCGGTATGACTGTAGCTTCGAGAAATCATTTCGAAAAAAGAAAATCATACCAAGCGGGACTGTTATGGGAAATATTTAAGATGACAAATGAATAAAACAAAATCAACAACTGTGTTCCGAGTGTAAAAACCCCAGCAGGGTTACACCGGGATTCGAACCCTGGACCTCAGATTATTATACAATCGCACAAACCAACTGGTCTGCCTAGTCAACGGAAGTGTCCTTGAGTCATAACCAAACGGAAGTTAAGTATATAGGGGAAAACACAGTGCAGTGAGACAGGGACGAGAAAATACTCGTTTACGGAAAGTGCCGACGGTTCCCGATTGGGATCCTTCAGAAGGCAAAGGCTCACATGTTAAAATATCAGCATGTTGATCACTTCATATAACATAATAATCACTCCACCTAATATATATATACGTATATAGGTACTGCATCCAGCATAACACATAGAATGCTCACGTAACAAATGAGTCGCTCTACATATCGTATGAAGAGGTCATTTCACAATGCAGTGCTTGTACGTTCAACCTAATGTATATAATTCAATATAATACATTAGTTTGATGTATCGGCTTTAGCGTCCTGTTAACAGCTAAGGTCATTTTAGGACGTGCCTTTCATGTAATAAGTAAATAGCTTTACATAACATATAGAGATCGGCGACGAGATCATATCAACCATGTCCGAAAAGTCAGTGGAGAGTGTCGACAGATGGTCGGACAATACGTTGTTTTCCTGATAATTTTTTTTCCACCTCACACCAGATACAGTGTTAAGGAGAAGAAAGCGCAAGCAAAGGTTTTCAACGGCTTTTCTCCCCTGCTTGTATATAGTACATTGTATATGAAGCCCAGGTACTAGCCTCGTCTGTCAATAAACCTATGGTTATAGTATAGGTGTATTGACAGACGAGGCTAGTACCTGTGTATGAAGAATAGCCAGCAGATACCTACAGCGTTGACCAGGGGGTACTCCAAATGTACCTGGAGCTCTAGCGTTGTAGAACTATTTATACTCAAGGACAAATCGACGGTCACTACCATAAAGGCTGAACGTTAAGCAGGGAATAACAACTACCATTTTAAGGACTTTAGTATGTCCCGGCCTGGGAACAGAACCCATTGCCTTCCTCACCTGGACGAACGTTCAGCGTTAAAGCCAAAAGTGAGGTGTTGTCAAGCAAGGCACTAGGAAACAAAAGGTAGTTAGAGGTTAGAGGTAGAGAGCAATACAAAGATCTCAAATATTGCAATGGGTGAAACAGATTTATTTTTCTCGCACCTCAGACAGAGATATCCCACGTCATACCCCATGCTAGATGTTTCTATCTCGTCCGTTCTGTCTTGTACCTTTACGCGACATTTCGCGGAATTTTTACACTACGATGTATTCATCCGCGCGTTAACTGCTTGAAATTGACAATTTGCATTATAAATGTTCTGTTTTGTCGTTATTGTATATTTGATGTTGTTAGATATTTGATGTTGTAGATAAAATTCAATCTACACTGTGAAATACGTTGTAATCTATGTAAGGACGAACTAAGTTTTTACGCGGAAGCATTCAAATGTAGCTTAATGAATGAAGAGGTCATCATCATTTGAGGCCCAATTACTTGCAGTTTGTAGCAAAATTGAATAGGGTTTTTTCGAAATAAAAGGTGCGAGAAAAAAAATATATTACATGTAACTGAGCGAGATCGGGATATCTCAGTCGAGGGTTAAGATTATGTAACAAAATGTTACGGAATCTTAGCCCGAGACAGGTGTATCCGCACTTTACCTATGTGAGATTTCCTTTTCTCCCACACCTGACAGATTTATCTCCCGTTTTGCCGGTGCTAAATTTATCTGTCTCCGCCCTAGCCCTCGGGGAAAGATTCTTAAGTTGCCAAACACTCGGCAAAGCCTCGTGTTTGGCAACATAAGAATCTTCCCCCTCGGGTTGAGATTCCCCTATCTCACCCCAAAGGGGGTGAATGATTCTATTATTCTCTTACCCTGGACAGGCGTATCCGCACTTTTACCGGTGTGAGATTTTCTTTTCTCCCACACCTGACAGATTTATCTCCCGTTTTGCCGGTGCTAGATTTATCTGTCTCCGCCCTAGGGTTGAGACGGGGGGATTCCCCTGTGTATAACAATGGCATGACGTCACTGCAATAATACAATGACGTCACGTCAACAATCCATCAACGTCACGTCAACCCTGAATTTAGCATGTAACGTTATCATTACATTGTGTATATGATACACATTGGGGAAAACAGGGTACATGTAAGAGAAAAAGAATCATTCACCCCCTTGTGGGTAAGATAGGGGAATCTCAACCCTCGGGGAAAGATTCTTAAGTTGCCAAACACTCGGCAAAGCCTCGTGTTTGGCAACATAAGAATCTTCCCCCTCGGGTTGAGATTCCCCTATCTCACCCCAAAGGGGGTGAATGATTCTATTANGATATGAATGCAATTTGGGTGACGGATAAATATTCATGTCGCCCGATCTCGCTCAGTTACCAAATAAAACATGGCATTGAACTACCATTTAATTCTCAATCAATACTTTTTGGGGTCAGTATTGCTAGATTTGATTATGAAACAATTTTTTTATTGCTACTCTTTAAGTTTTTCATCTACTATATTGTAAGCAAAGGGAGACTACTCGGTCTTTTTCCACGGGTAAAGTATATTTATCCTACTACAAAAAACATAGAAGAGGTTGGTCTGTACTCTTACAGTACTAAGAAAAGGGACAAAATTAAAAGTAAATGAAACTTTATTATTGAAATAATTAGAAAATGAAACATGATTTACTCTTTTCAAACTATTTTGAAACATATTTCTCAAGATTAATGTACTATGTAGTAAAATTGTATCCATGTACTACTTCATTATTTATAATTGTATGTCAATTTCTAATAGATGTACTCTTGTAATTGGATTTGGACGTATGTATGTATCACATGTTGTAACAATTGTATATAATTATGATTGAATAAAAGTATATATGAGAAGAAAAAAAGTATCTGGTGGCCATGTTTGTTTACCTAGGACACCTGGAGCTGTATTCCTACACTGACCGAATCACTGTAACTTGCAGTATACAGTCTCATATACTGGAATTTGGTTTACTAACAACATACCTATAGGCAAATGGAACACATATTGTAAATATAACGTTATCATTACATTTTGTATATGATACACAACGGATGAACAGGGTAAGAGAAAAAGAATAATTCACACCGTTGTGGATGGTATAGGGGAATCTCAACCCTCGGGGAAAGATTCTAAAGTTGCCAAACACTCAGCACAGCCTCGTGTTTGGCATTTTGCGAAATTTCCCCTTCCCCTCGGGTTGAGATTCCCCTATCTCATCCCTCAGGGGGTGAGAGATTCTATTATGGTCGCTTTTGTGTCCGCATGTAGAGGGCACAAAAGCAAATTCCAAATTATGCAGGGGGTTCCCACATAAGTCGCCTCTTACGACACACGCAGTGAGTAGCAGGTGTAATCTTTTCTCGATCCCCGACCTGCAAGGGTGCCCTTTACGGTTCCAGTTCCGTCCTGGCCGACAAAAGTGACCAAGAAAAGCTGAAAAAAAAATCATAATTGTTGCAAACAACTAAATTAAATTCATTTTCACCACATCCTTGATAGCGCCGAAATGCTCCATGAAGGAGGAAACAGCCCGATGATGAAGCTAAATTGAATTGAAAACCCATTGTTTTCAAAATATTAAACAGCAGGGTTCGACATTAATCTCTTTGATAAATAGTTCGAAGGACTCGTTCAATTTTCTTTTAGAACGTAACATTCATATCAATCAATAAAATTGTTATTGTTTTAACATAATTCAAAAGGACTATTAAGGGAATTCCCTACTTTTTCCACTATTCTTGGACTAGCGGACTAGTGTTGGTTTCAAACTCTGTAGATATACACATTGGTTTTGATATTATGCACATCGCTCCACTTTTTTTTCAGTAAGCTTTCCTGACTTCGTTTGTCGTTTCATTTTGATAACAACAGATACAATTCTGCACACGACTAAAATATTATCCTGCACTTCTGTTGGTAATATTTATTATATTATCCGTGTCTTAGAATTTTAACTAGATATTACCACGGACTTAGATAGCAATCTAATTCCGTTATATTACTACTAAACACTGACAAATTCTCAAGCTGTGTGCAAAATTTTATCAAAATGTAAAGACAAACGAATTCAGGATAATCTATTGGAAAATGAAATAACAATGGTAAATAGACCTAAAACCGAATGGGAAAATAACGTAACATGAAAGACTAATTCTAAAGATGAATATTGATGTTCGGGTAAACCGACCCTGTGGCTAACCGCGGTATGTATAAAGACATGTTATTTTTAACGACACCCGTTTAGTGTTAGTTAGCCTTCTTCTGCGTGATGCACAGACAAAACCCTGACTTTTTACGTACGAACTGTCAGTACGCAGTAAATCATCATTATTCCAGTCCAGTGCAGCATGTGAGTGTATTGAGAGTGGGACTATAGCAGTGGAGCGCGACGCTCGGCCCAGGTTCACACGTCACCCAACCGTGCACAGTGCTAGTACTAGCGCTCTACTGCAGACGTGCCCGTGTGCCGTACCGTTCTGGTGGTGAATCGGTTTGTTTATATACAAGACTAGTATACAATCACATCCTGGTCACATGGAGCCGACACAGGGATAGCATGTCGACTAGAGGAGACTGGAAACGCTAGGAATTCTGCGGCCATTGCATACGACATGTCACGAGTACCGTTTTCACCCTGGAGGAATTAAATATTCGCCATCACTCATCAGCATGCTCATCCAAGGATTCATCGCTCTCCTCATCTCCGAGATCATCTGTCTCCTCTCCTGTGTCGTTTCACAGGACATCTCACCAAATGGTAAAGTATAGCCCTCCACAATGACTTATTGTAAATGTTTCATGTGTGTATTTTGTAGTATTTCAGTGGTTGCTTTTTATAGACCGAACAGAGTGAGAAACAACAAAAACAGATCGATACCCAGTAGTGGGAAAGCGCCTTAGAAGTGTTCGGTCTAAGCTGTATAGGATGATAGTGAAGCTATAAGGTTAGGGGCTATTACTGTAGCTAGGCATCATAGGACACCATATCGATAATAGCGCGGTCAATACTCCACTCAACTGTCCGGCAATGTGGTCAAATCAATCAGTAATAATATAAATCAGCCTAAAGAGATTAACATGTACTGTAAATAATTGAGACTTTCATTTTAACTTCTAAATCTCGGTATATACGTATTGGCATTAATTTTGTTAAAATATATATGTATTGGGTATAGAAGGTCGGCGTGACTCATGGGCTATTGTAAATCCCGGGGCTTATCTCGGCCCCTTGTATGTACCGGATCAGCGAGGTTAGAAAGGCCCCTAACAGACATTGTCACCGACTCTATCTGATCGGTTGGCTTACTGTGTGCGACTTAAGAAACGTACTTTTAACATACATGACATGACAATACAAAGCTGGAGATTATTGAAGTGTGAGACGAACATTTAAAATAATGTACTTATGACGTGTGCGTAAACAAACCTTCAACAGATGTTCATCGTTGGGACGACTGCCCACAGTCGTTATTATTTGGTACTATTCAAAATAGACATCAGAGGAGTATTTCATACTTTACATATTTACATACCAGACACAGATTCCTGTAGTCTGGTGGTCACAATAACCCAGGCAAACTATTTTGTGTTGACGACAGCACCGTATCCCCCTCCCCGCATTGTATTCACTGTACCAGCCGGTGAAGCTATAAGCAATGGCCGTAAATTAGACGCTGGTTGAGATGACGTAATTATTCGTCAATATGACATTGCACGATACCAACCACAAACTACCCCGCACTTTCTTAATGCATATTTTTTTTCGTGTTTTACGGAAGTTAGTTAGAGAAACGTTAATGGTAGCGGTGACGTCAATGCCGACATGACGCTTTACAATACCGCCACTGACTTGCCGCCTGTGTCTATGACGTTTTAACGTAACGTACGTACATATGGTAACGCTGGTAACGGTAATTTAGCTGTACCGACGGAGACTGCTTGCGTGGTTTATAATATGCCGTAAAGATGATTGTGACAGCGATTCGGCGGATAAACTACTATTTGTATCTTTAGTCACTGAGCTTTCTTTGTCAGAAATCTCTTTGCTTAAAATGTTTGTGAAGCAAAACCATTTTTATGACTTTTCGAAAATATTTCAGTTAGGTGTATTGGGAAACATTTGCTGGATACGAAACATTAACACGTGTTCGCATGTTCGTGTAAAATAAATGAGTTCTGGTAAATATTTCTGGAGTGATTGTGATAGATATTATGCATTCTGACATACAGACGTATGTTCCAGTTTACAAGCCGCGAAGGCTTGGCATGGTTTCTACAGTACTTCAAAAAAGTTGAGTGAATGCAGGTGTTTAATGTTCAGAAGGTTTAGCCTGGGTGTAGTATAACCCTCGTCTGTATGCTGATGTTCAGATAACCCAGGACATCTAGTAAGTAAGATGTTCCCTCCAGAACAGCCCCCAGGTGTCGGAAGAAGCATGTTGGGGACAATGGCCGACCATTTAAATTGCACGGTGACACGATGCCGAGGTCAAAGATGATACTCTTATGATTAACCTTCGTGTTTAAAGGTCGGACATCACGCAACATCGCCATTGTCCTTATATTCCATTTAACATTTAAACGCACTCACAATTTCACGGTCGGCTTGATTCTTTGATTGGTATAATTTTACTCCGACATGCAACAGCAATTTTTATACATGTACATGTATAATGTACGGTATTATTGCTCTTCTGACAGCCTTGTCGGATAATTGTGTCGTATTTATCATAAATATGTCCATAGTATGTACTAGACCAAGTATTTGGGAGGCGCGAGCAAAGTATACGACAAGACACACCACCGGGTCAGCGTCTCGGACCGACAACACCAAACTTAGTTACAATATGGGCTCATACAGTGTCACCACTTGCACACGGTAGAAAATAGGTAAAGCAGTCAGAGGGTGTCAGGAGAAACACGGAAGTACAAAAAATATAAATGGTAGAGAATGACAGATATAAATACCCCAGCTGTTATTAATTGGTTAAGTATATCTTTTTTGATCTCCCCAAGGTCTACTTCATATTGCATATAATTTTACAGTTGGGTACAGTAGGTCTTTAAAAACATCTAAAACTAAAATAGAGAGAAAGCTTGGCTTTCCTTGTCGAGTTATATTTTTTTCTTAAAATACTGAATTTGTTTCCGGCTCTGACTGGGAACAATTTGGAAACCAACATGTGATGTTGTAAATGAAGAGTTGATTAGTAATCAGTCAACCGACATTAGTCTGTGATATAATCAGCCATCAATTATTCAAGAGGTCTGAATCAGACTTAACACGAATGTAGTCACGTGATATCCCGAACATGCAATAACAGATGTCATAATAATCCTCATTTCTAATTTGTTAATTTGCGAATATTGATTTTACGTTATCGTGAAAAGTTGAGTTCTTTGTCTTTTACGGAAGCAGACCAACAGGTGCCTGTCTTGTCTAGTTGTCTGTACACTCACACCAAACATGTAAACCATCTGGTATAATTATACTGCCGATAGTTACATTATTGATAAGATCAGCGAATAACAAAAGGGTTATCATAGTCGGAACAGAAGGTGCCTACATCAACAGGCTATAATATACAAAGAAGTGCTATTTTTACAAAAAAATGTAATGCATATTTCACGTAGACAAAAAATGGTGCATATTTCACACAGTACTCCATCTATTTCATAGACTGTATGCTAATTGTTTCACACTGTATGGTACCTATGCTATTATATAAATGTATGTTGTCTATATTCCTACACATAAATAATACCAATCATACACACTATTCTACATGCATGCATTTTATATACAGGATGTTGACGGTTTTACACAAAATGCGTTGCACGCCACTTATTATATTTCAGACACAATGATTTGCAAATTTGAAATGCAGCATTTCACGCAGTAGTTCACCTACATCATACATATTGGAATAGTATTTATTTCGGATACAGTAGGTTGCTTCTATCCTACACACTGTATGGTGCCTATTTCAGACACGGAGATCAATAGATTTCGCAAGGTATGATACCCATTTCACGATCAATGTGTATTGCCCTTTTCATACACTTCAGTATGGTATATGCACCTATTTAATTCATCTTTATTTCATTCGCATCCTAAGAAAGTTACATAATATGGACCGAACAGCAAATTAACACAACATTAACCTACATATAAGAACTATGCTCAGAATGTTCCGTCTTTGCGTATTGCAGAGTTATCTTCTCTTGGGAGCAGGTATTGATTGTTACGTCATTGGTTTGTGTGTGAAAATTGCGTCGTTTCCTCAAAAATTGATGACGTTACTCTCACAAACATGTGACGTAACAATCAATACCTGCTCCCAAGAGAAGATAACTCTGCAATACGCAAAGACATCATATAAACTTAGCACTTTGCAAGCCAGACTTCCTCACTTCAAAAGACTTTTTAATGAAGACACAGCATGTTGCCTTTTACACTTTGGTACCCTTTTCACTCACAGCATCAACATGGTACAAGTACCTAAGACTATTTATTTCACTCGCAGTGTACACACCGGCCTCTTACTCGCCCATGAGTGCTTATTTCACACATATATTGTATATTTTATCTACATAGAATTACTTGTAAGTCACACTAACGGTATGAAGCAGGTCTCAAACGGAACGTAATTTCACAAGCAGTGTGGTGATTTTTTACGTACAGTATGGTACGAATTTCACTTTTAAGTGTTCATGTTGCCTATTTCACCCACAAAATGTCCAGTCGCAAATAATACAAGCTATTTCAGTATTTCTCACGTAAAGAGTACCATCTCCTGATTGGATATAGTGGTTTTGGTACATATTACACAAGCCTACATGTGTTTGGTGCATGTATTAGTAGATTTGACGCTCTTGGAGTATATACATTTAACACACGAACAGCCAGGTGAATACATGTACTATGTGTCGGCATGTAAAATGAAGATATTTTTACACTGGTAGGGTATGCTAGGTTCCATTAGAGTATTCCGTTTGACCTTTATACATTAGTTACATGGACTTGTCGACCTATTCCACAGTTGACTCTATAGCTCATTACCCGCTGATATACCGACGTGTTGAGTTCGCCATAGCTTGGTTTATAACGACGACCACCGTTAATTAGGGTATTAGTATATGGTGTCACATTTCATTTGAAGGGCATTTGTCATCATTAACACATAATGAAACCTATTCGATATAGATCACAATTACCTATGGAAACTTGGCATGGTACACCGGTCACTCACACCGTGCTTTGACATTTGTTTAGTATAATGGTACATGTAGCAGTGCTCCCGTACCCTATCTCAATCACAGGGACTTGATAATTTGTTACAGCTTTATTTGAACCTAAACTAAGGTGTTCCGAGTAATTTTACACGTTTTATGGGTTTAGATCAACTTTCGGTAAAATTGCCACCCCAATGATCGATGGTAGTTGGACCTAAACTAAGGTGTCCATGGTAAAATTACCTTAGTTTTAGATATACTGATATAGCTGTAATAAATTCTCAAGTCCCTGTGACCGCATTCCACAGAACAGCAACCCATAAATAAGGTGTAGATATATAGCAGCGTTGCATCGAAAATGACAAGAGCCTGAACAATAACTGCTAAAGCCTTATCTCTCTGGCGGTACAGTACATAACATCCCGCCTTAGTGATTGCACATGTAATCACCACTTTGGCAGTGACGTTAGTTCACGACGGTACAATGATGGTTCGGTGAGTCATAGAGACCATGCTAGATTATCAGGGACACTCAGCCCGCCGCTTAACTTCATTAGGCGTACATATAACGTCACTACTGACTGAACATTTGGTATGTGATAATGACTCGAAATTTTAATCTTAGGGAAGGATATATTAAATGGTGTTAAAAATCAGTAATTCAAAGTTTATCTCAATATTTCATTCTGAAGCTTGAAAGAACCACTGGGATTCGTTACTTATGTCTGAAAACCACATTGACTGTATTGGTGTGTGTGTCTGTAGTATAGCGTATGTGTCTTATACATTTGTAACGAAACCCTGTGACATAAACAGCGTATGGAAATGAAGTCTATTTAGAATAGGTGACATCACTCATTCAATAGCTAGGCGATCAAAATCTTCAAACCTGTTCGGAATAATTCCCAGAGGATTGTGAACAGTATACAAGATAGATAGATCATTAAAATTCGAATTGATGAAATCGCTCATTCGTTTTTTTATTTGGTGACATCACCTTTTCCAAAAGGAGATATCACCAGCTCGAATACGGGTTATTATTAATTCGGATATCACCTAATAAGTGATATCACACAAAAAAAGAATTGAAAATATGCACAGATATAATCGAGTTTTATGTACAGATATAATCGAGTTTCATGTACAGATATAATCGAGTTTTATGTACAGATATAATCGAGTTTATCTTCATAAACTTACGTTTATCGGGAACAGCAAGCATTTAATTCAAATTTTCAAATTGTGGGCAAGTTTTGTATCTAAGTTAATCCGGTAAATCGCCTGGATATTCCATTTGGGAGCCAAATCTTATCTGGAAATAATCCGAACCTGTACATGTACTGTGAAAAATCATGGAAAGGCCCGTGACTTGGACCTTTCTGGCTCATCTCTGGAGATTCACTGAAAGAGTGGAAAGCATATCTGTTACATCTTGGTGAAGGCTGCTAGAAGTGAAACTTTTGGAATCATCACAGCTTCAGTAGTATTATCAGTTATTTACATCAAACTGTGTGTATCGCTTGATGTAGTAGATATATGTATTCTCCACACTTCTGATCTCTTCAGCCTGGTTTACGGGAAACACCTGTTAGAAAATTCCATTCTGAAAGTTGATTTCAACAAACACGAGCCATTAATATCATCTCTGATAAACAGCCAAAACCAAACTCATTGAGCCAGAGTAAGGGCATTCTTATAGACTAAAAAGGTCACCGACATATTTTTAAGGAATCTCGTAAATAATGCACAAAAGTATTTTGATATCTGTGTTGATATATAAAGGGAATATCAAGAAAACGTTTGTGGAGTTTTAATTAACATCCGACAGAATTATTTCAGCAAATTTTAAAATATATTTCTGTATTTTCAGTGCCAACAATCAACGTCCCTGGATACTCTTACCTTGTTCCTTATGGACGATCAGTGATGCTAGAATGTCATGTGACTGGAACTAGACCAATCAAAGTCAAATGGTGGACTCGTGGCAGACATGTGACAGACGATGACGTATTTCACACCTCGCTGGTGACTACTAGTGACGAAAGAGACACACTGTTGCTATGGATACATTCGTTATCTGAAAAAGAGACCGGGACATACATATGTAGTGGATCAAACGCATTTGGGGAGGTAACCGACAAGATATATGTTAATGGTAAGATGTTCCCGAAAACTGACAAAGTATATGTTTATGGTGAATAAGCTATTTGTAAACAGTAAGTTCGGTATACCGGAAGTTCCTACATAATAAAATACTGTCAAGCTTGTTCAAGCCAAACGAAGAGTAAAAATACTTTTTGGAAGTCACAGAAAACATGTGTAAATTGGCAGTTAGCTTGACTAAAAAAATACTGGTAAGATATATGGTGCTGTTATGTTAGGCCGACCGGAAGTTACCCACAATATCTGTTGCCAGGAAGTAGGATTACCGGGATCAAGATGTACGTTATTTTATCGGATGTTTCCCCGAGAAGTCAGGTTTACCGGAAGTCACTGTTTATATTGGTCAGTAATCAAAATATGATAGTAAAATGGGCCTGAGAGTAAGCGTCCCTATCCGATGGATGTCTACTCTTTCGATGATATGAACCGTTATAAGTCCCCTGTGGCGGATACACTGTCTTGTCCGGCGTAGTACCATTTAAAGTTCGGTAATAACAGGAACCAGGACGTAAAGCCCCAACAATCAATCGATCAATCAATAAATCAGTCAATGAGTTTCGCTGAAAGAAAAAACAACTGCAACCGACAACAGTAGTAAATATAAGATTTAGCATATCATAAACATGTCGGCAGGGTAGGGGTTATGAAGAAACGTCCAATGCACAAAGGGATTTGATGGTATGTTTTTGGGGTTTTTGCAGGGTATGAAGACGAGGGTGTTCCGGGAGAAGAGGATGGTGACGTAGAGATTGGGTACTTCACGGCAGAAAACAGTGCACGCAAAAGCTCAGCCGCTGGAGGTGTCGTGTACCTAGCTACAATCGTCGCCACTCTCCACCTAACAACGACCATATTCTCATCTGTCTTATCATGTCTCTGCAACGCCTTCTCATAGTGTCATTCAGTGCATTCTGGAGTTTTGTTTTATTTTTCTCCTTATATTGTTATTTTGTTGTTAAGAATTTCTATAAAATACATTAATTTAAAAAGTATGTCTTTTGTTTATTTTCATTAGCTCACCTGTCACGTAGTATCACGAGAAATGTTAATTTGATAGATGTTTTAGGTGTGCCTAAGTGTGGCAAAAGGCGCATTTTACAGTACCGCCAAGAAAAATGACACCAAGCCTCTCACATCGCATTTTGAAATATGTCATTACAAAATCTAAGGCTATTTATGTGACACATTGCGGATGAAACAAGTAGACTATAGTCTTGGGTTTTTCATGAATTCAAAGTAATCGCTCGGAAGCGTTACGGTATAATCGACAAACATAAAAGATGGGCGTAGCTCCTCTGTAATATTTAAAGGAAATATATCAGCTTAGCGATTGGTCAGGTTATTATACCCAAAATCAATAAACAGCTTACCGCGATTTTGTCGTGACATATTCCAAGGGTCAGAGATGATACTGTCGAGAACGGAACCCATGGGATTCTAAGATGTTCCCATCCCGCAAGAAGGGCTATAAATATTCATGAACGTTTGTTAAATTGAAAGAAATCTTTTCTCACTAGTGCTTGGCAGCTGTCATTTATTTAAACTACAGTATATAGTCCTAATACCCGGGATACAGAGTCGCACGAGTCGGTTTGGTTTGGTTTAGTACTGGTTAACACTATATAGTGCGTGCGTGTGTGTTTTGGGAGGCTGCGATATGTTCGAGTCGCACGAAATAACGAAACTAGCAGGGATGAGCACACACAAGGACACAATCATCTTCTAACATCATAACAGAAAATTCCATTCACACATCGACCATTTACTATTTCGAAAGGAATGAGAAGTAAGAGACCAAAAGGTTCGTACATGCAACATTAAACCAAACCCTACTTCCGCTTATGTGTCTATCTTCACCGCGATCAAACAGTCAATACAAAACTCGGTACATCCTGTTAGAATAGAGATGGTAACAAAATCAGACAATTGCATCATTGAATTTCATCAAAATGACATTAATCTGCTCCTCGCAATATCATTGGGTTCCTTGTGTTTTATATCGAAGCTCTGGAAAAATGCACACCTGCATAACGCTATTTATTCAGCAATACAGAAGGCAGAAATCATGAAGAAAGTAGGCAAAGCAATCTGAAAAGACATCAGAATAGCACTCGATGAAGCTTATAAAATTTGAAAAGATGTACTAATGAGGTAGAACCCAATTAAATACACTTTAACAGTCCTTGTTTAGGACTGAACCGTGAGAGCACAACAAAGACGAGAACATGCCTTACAGAATGGTCAGCAACGCGATGTATTGTATACTTCCCGAAAAGACGTCAACAAAGAAAGGCGAAATCCACAACTACTTATGTACCCCATGCAAAAAACATCGACAGAATACAGATTTTAAAACAATAGGATTCGAAAACCTTGCTACTGAAACTATGTCGAGTTAACAAAGGTAGCCTCCAATGCATCATCATTCACGAGCTTGAGTCCTCTAACATGGTAAACATTCGACCAGTACAGCCATATACAAATGTAGCTGACTTTTCTATTATTTCATAAGTGTAGAACTCTAAGTGGAAATAAATAAAAAAAAATCCTTAATCTACAACATCCTTTGCCAGTATGTAGGACATCAGTATACAAAATGTGATTCAACATCGTATTCATGTTTAATCGGCGGGATATATTACAACCATTCATTGGTGACGGATTTTATTAATAATGTCAAGCCTGAAATTGGTATACACATTGTAATGTATAGCTTATAACGTTGAAACCCTCTCGTCATACATAACTAGCATGATTTTTTATCTGCAAAACAAGTACATTTCATAGAGACATAAGCACATCGATTTCCGGCTTTTTTATTATACACATTGAATCGACCATAAACAACTTTTTATCTAGCCCGAGTTTCCTCTGGACTTGACACCAGGCTTAGACATTTTGACAGATAGATGTCTGGTGTCAGGGCCAGAAGAAACTCGGGCTACTTTTTATCTTAAAAAGAAGAATACTTTCTTCTCCAAAAATATTTTGTATAATACAGTGTCTTCGCCAATATCGCATATAACATGGTGTTTTTGTACCATGATTAATATTCCTTGCGGTTTAACGTTTAAATAAAGAAGCTGACCACGTGAACAGGTACTCCCATGATTACAATGCGTAAAAAACAGATTATAACTCATTAAATAATGAAAATTTAAAAAAATGAAAGTTGAACAAACCTGTTGTGTCTCGTATAGATGTGATCCTTTAGACTGTTCTGGAATACTTTACACAGGGTTTGCTATGGTTTATTTACGGATCCCATTGCAACATGTTTTTTTCTTTTCTTCTATATACAGTAACCTCCCCTTAACTTTCGTTTCGATAAAACTTTGTAGAAAAGTTTTGGCAAAACACTTCCCATGACCAGATAGTCCAATCGGTTAGAGCAGTATTATAACAATCTGAAGGAGAATCCCGGCCTATCCCTACTGAACGCTTACACTATAACACACCCAGGCCTATCCCTACTGAACATTTACACTATAACACCCCCCGGTCTATCCCTACTGATCCTTTACACTATAACCAACCCCGGCCTATCCCAACTGAACATTTACACTATAACACGCCCCGGCCTATCCCTACTGAACCTTTACACTATAACACACATGCCTTACAGCTACTACATCAATCACAAGATCTATAAAATGCAAATAAAAGAACAGTGTGTCCAGGGAATGACCTTGTGTGAAGAAGGTGACCGGTTGCTATTGTAACGTATGACTTCATGGCAATAAATAGGAGGGTGCTTTCATATGAACGGAGAAGGATCAAGCATTTCTGAATCTGAATTAATACACGGTAGGCTCGATTCTGGGAAAATCTCCGCGGGGGGAGAGTGCGCTTGGTGGATTTAGTCTATCCGACAGCTTAGGTTTTTGCCTTGAAGATATCCACTGTCTCTGTTACTGAAATTAATGAGACCGGTCTGTAATTTGATGTCATGTATTTATCCCCTTTCTTGAAAATTGGTGATACGTTTGCGTTCCTCCAGCCCTCAGGTAGAGTTCCGATGTCCATTAATTTCTGCAATAATTTGATGAGGCCAGGTGATACTTCTTCAGCACAGGTTTTTAAAATGATGTTTGGCAACTTGTCAGGCCCAGGAGCTTTGGAGGTTTTGATGTCCTTCAATAGTTTCTGTAGACCTGTGTGCGTTAATGTGAGTGAGGGTATATCTAGGACATTACTGTTGGTGTTTACTGCTGGCATTGGTTTATCCGATTCCGGTTTTATAAATACGGATTGAAACTGTTCCACTAGAATGTTGGTTTTCCCTTTGAAATCAGTTATAAGATTCCCTGATCTTTTCAGTGGTGATACCCCGATGTTCTCTTGCTTCTTAGCTTTGATATCATTCAAAAGGACTTCGAATTCCTATTGTTATTTCCTTCTGTGATAACCCTGTTGACATGAACCCATTCTGCTTGCTCAATTGTCTCTTGCATTCCTTGGGGACTTTCTTGTGCTTGTCCCAGTTCCCAGAACGTTGAGCTTTCCCATTTCCTTTTAAGTGCCCTACGAATATTCGTGTTTACCCAAGGTAGAGAGTGTCATTTCCGTACAGATTTTGATGGCACATTTTTATCAAGAGTGTCTTTGATGGCATCCTTAAAAATTTTCCACAATTTCTCCATGTTTTTATCTGGTTCATGAAGGATTTCGCTGATTTCATGTGATAATATTGAGCAGCCTGATTTGATGTTATCCCAGTTAGCTCGTTTACAGATGATTTCGCAAGGGACGGATTTGATGTTAACACTAGGTCTAATATTTTCCCTTGCCTTGTAGGCTGTTCATGAATTCGCGTTAGCTTTTGGTCGATAGATATTTCCAAAGGGTGTTGTTGAACTGTTCTGTCCTGAGCCTCTGCCTCTTGAGAAATGGATACATTTTCCCAGTTAATGTCGGAACTGTTAAAGTCGCCGCATATAATGATATGTTTGTCACTTGATCGGTTCATTCTTCTATCGCCTCTGATAGTTGATCTATAATATCCCTCCGGTTCCTTTTTGGCATATAGAGAGCAGCAATATATAGATCTTTCATTTTTAAAAGGGATAGTTTTACAATTTCAATTTCACAATCAGTTATAAAGTCTAAACACTCAACTGATGTAATATTGCTTTGTACTGCCACAAAGACGCCACCTCCTCTAGTACTTCGGTCATTTCGGTAGACTGTATAGCTATCCAAAAAGATTTATGAACTAAGAATAGCACCCTTTCCATAGTTTACCCCCGGTTTCTTGCCTCAAAGCCATGATTCCGTTGCACAGATCACGCCTGGTTGTATGTACTGGATTGCCGCCCTCAGCTTTGTATGGTTTTCCTTCACACTTCTACACTTTACTTTCATGATTATCAGGTTACACTTATATGTAACCGTGCAATAAGGGCATGAGACAGATTCCTCCCTGTCACTGCTAGTGGATGTTGTGTTAAGTTGGAAGCTGGGGTGGGGTAATTTGGGTGTATGGTTTCCTTGTGATCGAGGACTGCTGGTGTTTTTTGGACTAAATACTTTATGTACAGAGTCTTTTGCAGTGTCAATCAGGGTTAACGGATGGAAAAAGTTTCTTGTTGAAAGTTCATAGCTGCGTTTGCTGAAGCTATCACCGTTCAAACTGTCGCATCTACAACATTTCCACACTACATTTGATCGACTGAACTCGTTGTACTCGTTGGCGCTCATGGAGAGGAACGATCGGTGCATACATACATTGCACTCGTCGCAAGCTACACCTTCATGTGACCACGTGAATGGATATTCACAAATAGCACAAGGTCATTTAGTTATGGGACCAGGATTTAATTCGATGCCTCCTGCCAATAATAGGACCAAAAGTATACCTGGTTTTGCCCGGATCGGTCGGTCTATTTCAGATAGTAAAAAAACAACAGTTTTTTTTGTTCAGTTTGTTTCCTAATGATGCACTTACACACAAGTACCGGTAATTCTCAGGGTTGCTTTATTATTGCAAGGTTATGGTAATATAGCCCCAGCTAGAGCAAGCAGACCGGTCGTGAAAATAAATTCAATTCCAGATTGTTTACATTTGAAATCGGCGCTGGAGGTCGCCATCTTATATTTTTCTCGAGGTATGGTTCGAATTCAGGGCTGTTTGACCCACTTCTCCATTATATCTGCGGAGTTGATGGTGGGTGAGCCCCACACTAACGACTATGCGTGGTAAATAATTAAGTACTGTTCTGTTAAGAGTGTTTTGTGCTCTCTCATGAAATTCTCATTTGCGTTCATCAACACGGCATCCTCAATAAGGAGTCCTGATTAACCTGACAAAACTTTATTTAACACGTAGTCCCGTGGCTAGGTAGTATGCTGTGTGTGGCTAGTGATAAAGGAGACCTGAAGACAGATGGAGATCCATGTTATCAACCCCCGTTACATCTTTGTTTCCTTCTGTGAGCACTTCCAATCGTATCTTCAATGCGTCTTTGAATGCTTTGGGTAGACCGGTGATATACGCACCAACTTGTCATTTATAGTGTCTCTCTGTAAGGAAAAAGAAATCATTGAAATAATTTAATGAATCTTTAGGGAACAAGAGTATAGATGGGGCATATCACTTTTACGGTACTCGCATGCAAATTTGACATTACTTGAAATCCTTCTGATGCACGCTGGTACCCATCATCGATACTCCACGGCAATGTCTACCGCGAGTTGTCGGTCCTTGCACTCACTTATGTGGGCCGACAACTCTGGGTAGAGATCGACTCCAAGGCTTACGTTCATTTTACGCTCTGTTGCGGACTGTGGTTTTCCTTTTTTACAGTAATCTCCCCTTACCTTCCTTGTTGTTAAAACTGTAGCACAGTTCGGCCAGGACACATCCGCTGACCCGGCATATAATATAATAACCTGACGTCCAGGGCTCGGATCCCTGTGTAACCCTGCCGAATTTTTACACAGTTCTTTATTATATATTTTTATTTCATCTTTAATATTTCTTATAAAAATTCCACATACTCGCATAGTATGGTTTTCTTTTTCGAAATGATTTCTCAAAACTATAGTCATGCCGGAAAACAACAGTTTCCTATGCGTAGTAACAGTTTTTTGGCTGTGGTACGGGGTATCCTTAAGTAATTTCTGAGATATTAACAGACCACGGATGAAATGGGACTTGAAAGAACCACCAGGCCATAATTTGATAATGGTTGCCTAAAAAAAAGGACATTGAACGTCGGCAGCAGATTTGGGTCGGATGGCGCAGTGGATGGATAGCACATTTGTCATTTGCCAAGGCGGCCGGAGTTCGATTCCCCAATCGGAGGTGAAAAGGTATGGAGTCACCTGCCCGGCCACATTGGATTTCTCCGGGGACTCCGGTTTCCTCCCACATTAAGACCTCCGCGCGCTAACATCCGGGCTAACAAGAGTGATTAATATAAGTTGAAATAACTTGTTTCATAATTGTTTTAAAATAAATAAAGTTTAGATATATATATGGCAATTTAGAAATCACGGGTCCACTCACATGGAATGAATGTTTTCAAACTTCTGTAGATAGTTTTCATAGAGTGACAATTGCTACTTTGGTAGGGTGCCCAATCGAACTGATCTCACAAAGTACCTCTTGAAACTCTTTTAAAAGTTTGCCTCCATCCTTATTTAAAAGTTAAAATCCCGTTTGTATATAGAAGATCAGTAATTTAAAGACTTACCTCTATTTAACCTATTGGGTCTCTCCCCATGGGTGAGATCAGAACGTGTTGATTCATCTGTGTGAAAGTTATTTGGACGGAAGGTTGGGCCCCGGCACGACCATTTACCCCAAAACACCCAAAAAGACCCCAAAACACCCTAGTGATAGCGTTTAGTTGAAGAAAAGTTTTTTTTTTTTACAAACTGTAACGATTGTTTGCAATTTGTTTTATTTTCTGTGAAATACGTACGGAGGTAATTAGTGACTTGCAAAATATATCGCTGCAAGTAAAGGGAGGTAAATCGTTCAAGAACGACAAGACAATATACACAAATAATATTAGATTTTTCCCTGAGCACGAATTTCAGGGTTATATCAAAGTACAACCGGTTTATTTAAAACTCACCACAAATGTGTCTTACATAGATGAACAAAAGCGATACAGATCAGGTATCGAGCAAAATTATATCACATGTTAAACAGTTTTCTTTTGGTAAGAATATATAGGGAAATTAATTGTGGTCTTAGGCCTGAAACTGCGGGAAGGCTGTATCGAATGCACACACATATTAGTCATTATCGCGAACACGCTTAAAAAGCAAGATGTCCTGTACTCCGCGGCTACCGCTTGCCAGTGGAAAAAATGCTTTCTTTGGGAGGACCAGGACACTTTTGACATATTTAAAAACCAAAAGGGGAAAATTTATGACGTTACACAGGTAAAGAGTGTACAAACACCAGTGTTATTTCCGATACATTCACACAGTTTGTAATGGAACCTCCGACCTTGATCTAGGTCAAGTTTGGTTTCATTGTAAGGCTAAGCTGATAATTAAGTAATAAATAGAGGAACTTACTATATCGTTTTTGAACATCGTTTGTTAAAAGGTTTAGTCCAAACAAAAACAAAATTTTCGTTTTCATTTCATACCAAATCGTTTTCTTGGAAATGTCACCCTGGTAAAATACTAACAACTTCGTAACGCCTCGGATAGGGAGAATTTCTTCATTCGGTAGAGCGTAAGACTTGTAAGCCACAGGTCCCGGGTCCGACTCCTAGCGGACACATTGAAAAACATAATGACCCCTGTTACATTGGCGCCCACGTAGGGACCCGGGAGATATGACAAAATTACTCAGCGATACCTGCAAAGGAATCGTGTTGACCCCTGGAAAACTTGAGACGATTTATTTTGCTGCAGGGGGAGTTTGTCACCCTGGTATTAAAAATACCAGGCCTAATCACTTCCTACCGAATTGGCTAGGGAGAATTTCTCATTAACTCATTCGGTAGAGCGTAAGACTAGTAAGGCATGGAAAAAATTTATGACCGTTGTTACAGAAAGATCAACTCATGCCATCAAAGTATTAGTCGTTTTGATACCCGATAGTTACGACACAATATAAAAAAAATGTCTCCTTTTCAGAAGCTACGTTATCGCAGCTTCCCTTACTTTTGTACCCCATTTCAAGCACAAGAGCTTATTTCGTTCAGTAGATAGTACATGCGTTGCAGACATACTGGTCATGATATAAAACTAAACTTTACTGTTTCTTTTCTATCACAGCACTGGAGCTCTGGCTGCTTACGGAACAACGGCATTGGCTATGGCTATATATCTGCTCAACTTCAGGCCGATCCTTGGACGTATCCCCTATGTCAAGAACTCTTATCCCTTGCCACCTCCACCACCACCTCCGAAGAAATAGTCATAGTGCAGGAGGATTGTAGTGTACAGATTTTAAATTAAGGTAGTGAATAAGTCCAACTGAAAAAACTTGTTTCCCTTTTCCTATAGCTGCACACCCATGTTCCTACAAACACCCGCAAGAAATGAAAATATTTCAATATAATTTTGTACATGTATAAAACCACCACTAGCAGTTGACCGACTTGAAATAACTTCTCAAGAAAATGTCATGTACTTATTAACCACCACTATTCCGTCTTTGCGTATTGCAGAGTTATCTTCTCTTGGGAGCAGGTATTAATTGTTACGTCACTTGTTTGTGAGAATAACGTCATCAATTTTTGAGAAAACAACGTAATTTTCTCACACAGACCAATGACGTAACAATCAATACCTGCTCCCAAGAGAAGATAACTCTGCAATACCCAAAGATGGAATAGCAGTTGACTAGAATATATCGAGTATTTTGGAATTCCTCACTTGGCAACCAAGTCCACAAATTGAGATTAAAGGTTAAATGAAACTTTTGTTGTCTGGAGCATTGAACTGCTTTTTAATTTTGAATATCTGTCATTCAACAAATATGTTGATTGGAATATTAATGTAAAACAAGCAACTTTGTTGTGGAAATGTTTTGCAATAATTACCTGAACCCTAAAAATGATCACACATGAACTGCAGCAATATGGCAAAACAAATTGAGAGTCATGATTTATTTAACAGCAATAAAGTCTACTGAATAATTTCAACAGGACAGTTTTCAGAATTCTTCAATAGATTGTATTGCTGAATAAATATCTGAAAATTTGAGAAATTTATTGTTTTCATCTTTTTTGTTTTGCAGAATTGTGTTTCCATGGAGTTCAGTCTAGAACAGGACAAGTGTTACTTCAGTAAAAGGATTATGGAGCGAGACCACCATAGACAACTCCTTGGAAGTTTTTCTCAATCCTGCAACATATGTTGTTTTCAATTTAAATAAATTAGGATAAAACTTAATTGTAAACATTGTTGTGTTAATTTATCTCATAAAAATCTGTAAAACTTAATGATGTCAAAGTCTGGATTATTTAGAAGCTGATTAGTTGATTAGCTATTTGATTGATCTCAGGTAAAAAAAAAAACTGTTCTATGAAGATTGCAAAGAAGCGACACCAGACTTCAAAGCCAGTCAATTTTACCTTTATGCTACCATAACATCTTTTGATGTGTATCAAAGCATTAAACTATTTGTCTTGTCTCTCCCACAAGATAGTGCAAACTGATAGCCTTCAATTTTGTCAAGACATATTTGAGGGGCACTGGTGACCCTGAACATGGCTCGAGTTTATTTCCTTTCACCCGTTAGACCAGGGCTCGTATTCATGAAACATTCTCATGCTCAAGCAAACTTTCTTGTAATTCGCTTATATTAGGTGTCGCAATCAAAAAGTGACGTGTTAACATTGAAAACTATATTCAGTTTTAGCTCACCTGTCCCGAAGGGCCAAGTGAGTTTATGTCGTAGTGCGGCGTCCGGCATCAAGATTTTACTTTAAACAACTTCTTCTTAATAACCAAAAGGCCTAAGATGATATTTGGCCAGAAGCATACTGAAATGAAGGGCTACAAATTTTATTCAAATATTAAATGACTTTCACCCATTTTTAAGTTCACAGGGGTCAAAAATGTTAAAAACTTGAAACAACTTCTGAATAACCAAAAGGACCAGGATGGTAATATTTGGTCAGTAGCATGCTGTGATGAAGGGCTACAAAGTTTGTTGAAATAAATGAACTTCACACATTAAATGTCACAGGGGTCAAATATGTTAAAATCCTTAAACGACTTCTTCCGACTAATGTGATGATATTTGGCATTTGCTGGAATGAAGGGCTTCCAAGTTCAAATGCATGACCTTCACTCATTTTAAAATATGTTGAAATCTTTAAATGACTTCTAATGAATAACCATGAGACCCAGAATGTTGATATCTGGCCAGTAGAATGCTTGGATGGAGGGTTATCAAGTCATTTGAATGACATTGACCCACTTTAAAGGTCACATTTGGTCAAATATGTATAAACCTTCAAATGACCAAATATCAATAAACAGATGGTCTAGGGTGATGATATTTGGCAAGTTGCATGCTGTGATAAAGGGCTATAAAGTTTGTTCAACGTAATTACCTTGTTTGACTTCAAGGTCACAAGGGTCAAATGTTTAAAATCTTTCAACAGGTTCTTTTGAATGACTTATAGTCATAAATATTTTACCTGTAGCTTTTTTCACAGTTTGAGATTAATACCAGGTGAGCGATGCAGGTCCATTGGGTCTCTTCTTAGTCTATCCAAACTTCTTTCATTTCTTTGACAAAAGTTATTTCATCGGTTAATTTATCACCGAAACAAGAAATTGGGTTGGAGCACTGAATATGAGTTTGAGCACGTGAATGGTTTCATAAATGCAGGACCAGTTGAGCTAAAAAAACCAAGAGATCCCAGAGGGATCTTGGCACCCACCTTTGTACCATCTTCATTAGTTCTTTGTCAGTTCGATCTTTTCTCTTCTTTCCTCTAATCTGTTTGATCGAGTCATGTTAACAGTAAATGCACCTTGAGGTAACTTTTGATCTAAACTTAATACTGATGTGTATGAAAGCCAACCTTCAAAGTGAGTTTGTCATTTCACATATTTACTAGTACAGTACTTAATGTGAAAGAAATAGAATCGATCATTGCAATATGAGAAAGATCTGTTTAGTTCTTCTTTTAATCCATTTTGTTTTTATGATCAGTCTCAAAATATAACAT